GTGAGTGTGAGAGTGAGTGAGTGTGAGAGTGTGAGAGTGAGTGAGTGTGTGAGTGTGAGAGTGAGTGAGTGAGTGTGTGAGTGTGAGAGTGAGTGAGTGAGTGTGTGAGTGTGAGAGTGAGTGAGTGAGTGTGATAGTGAGTGAGTGAGTGTGAGAGTGAGTGAGTGAGTGAGTGTGAGAGTGAGTGAGTGAGTGAGTGAGTGTGAGAGTGAGTGAGTGAGTGTGAGAGTGAGTGAGTGAGTGAGTGTGAGAGTGAGTGAGTGAGTGTGAGAGTGAGTGAGTGAGTGAGTGAGTGTGAGGGTGAGTGAGTGAGTGTGAGGGTGAGTGAGTGAGTGTGAGAGTGAGTGAGTGAGTGTGAGAGTGAGTGAGTGAGTGTGAGAGTGAGTGAGTGTGAGTGTGAGAGTGAGAGTGAGAGAGTGTGAGAGTGAGTGAGTGAGTGTGAGAGAGTGAGTGAGTGAGTGTGAGAGAGTGTGAGAGTGAGTGAGTGAGTGTAAGAGAGTGTGAGAGTGAGTGAGTGTGAGAGTGAGAGTGTGTGTATGTGTGTGTGTGCACGTGCACACATATATAGTATGCTTGTGTGTGGTTACATAAATTGTGTTTGTCAAGTACTGGCAAAGCCAGGGTACTGTGATATAAAACCAGGATCAGTTTAGTGACTGTTTTTGCAACATTTTTGTTTGTTTGTTTGCTTCTATTTTACTGTATGGAAGATTATGTATGTTATGTGCTAGAACTGGAAATACATATATCATTTATTTAAGAAAATAAAAAAGAGCCAGTATATTGTAATATCCACCTGTAGAGATTGAGTGGATGATGATATTATAATCTTGAATCTCACTGGAATCAGATATTGAGTATATTTAAGATAATAACAAGCTACTACAATTTCTTTTGCTTTTTGTTTTTGAAGTGGCTGTTGTAGGAATCCTGATTGATAAGGAAAAACTTTTGAATTTTTGAATTTGAATCATTGAATTCAGTCATGAGAACAGGGTAGATTGCACGTTGCTGTTGTGCACTCGTCTCTGCTGTGAGGTGGTGTAACCTGGGAGTGTACAATGAAGCCATAAGTATTCTCCCCAGTTTAGTTGTGTAATAGGAGGAGGAGGTGGCAAGGCTTTGGCAAGGACACATCAGATGCATGAGAGTTATATGAATAAGATATGTGTAGGAAATAAATCTCTGGAGGTTACTAGGCAGCTGCCCAAGGATATAGGTTTGTGGTCCAGGATGCTCTTGTTGTGGGCGTTATTGTATGTGGCGGTTTCATTGTACAAGTATATTTTTAGAAATGATATATTTTTATTTGTAAGACTCAAGGATAGTTTTGTTATTGTTTTCTGTTTATGGCAAGGAAGAACTTTGGGATTGAATTGTTTTGGTGTATTGTATGATGATAAGATGTATATCTTTGCTGTATTTTCTGTAAAGGTATTTATTTGAGAAATATTTCCTTCAAGTGATCTATTTCTATATGAAAAGTTCTGAAAAAAAATTTAATATTTACCAAGAACAGTACTGAATGCTTGTATTTATTACTAAGAGACAAGAATGTGGCAAGAATGTGAGAGATCTGTTGCCAGGAGCTGATTGACATTCAGATCATTCAGTATGCTGAGAAATGATGGAGTGGGAAGGGTATTTATTCAGTATTATCCACTGTGTGTTGACATCACAGGGATAATAAGCATCTTGTACATTGCTTCTTGCCTTTTTTCTTTGTTATTAGAATCATTAAGCTGACTGATGAGGGATGATCATGAATTAGCAATACATTATAGACACATGAATTAGCAATACATTATAGACACATGAATTAGCAATACATTATAGACACTGGTGTGGTGAACATGTTATTTTGGTGATATATAGCCTTTCAAAGGAACGTACTTGACATTTAGAGCCAAGGTTATAGCACAGAAAATGGCAATACTCATAAAGCAGTTAAAGCTGTCATTATATTTTTAAGAAACAAAGATCAGTAAAAAATAATAATTTAGGTGTTTAGGTGTGAATGTGCTATATTTCAGAAAGTTTTAGGTCAGTTATGCAGGGTGTTTGATAAAGTTTAATGGCTTGTAGTTTGCATGATATTGAATTATGACCTGAAATATTTATTAGTTAACATTTTTCTCTGAACGTGGGAGACAGCAAAGCAGCGACACAATAAAGACATATACATTATGAAGCTAAGTTTAGTCTGTTTGTTCCAAGATATGACACTAAAATGCAAAGGAAGGCAACCAGGTGCTTAATTAGATGGATCTTTGCCCAGAATGAAAGTGGATAACGTGAGTTTGAATCCCAGTATCGACAAGTTATTATGGGAGCACATGTGTGTCCGGTGTGTTGTGCTTATGCATGCAGTAAATGTTGAAAATTTGCAAGTATCAAGTATGTGATACCTGTTAATTGCTTTCTTGTAAACATAACCGCTCTGCATAAGAACTCTGCCAGGCTTGCAACCTGTTATTGCGTATATATGCATCTCTTCCTGGTATGGAGATCCATCAAGATATAATGTAGTGAAACATATTTATTTGAATTACAATAAGCTATTGGAAAGTAAAACGTTTCCATATCAGAAATGACATAGCTATTAGAGGATTGATTGATTAAGAAAAAAAAAAATTAACAAAGAATTCTTTTTTCCAGGACGACGGGTGACTCATTATATGAGACACTAGGGCTGCAGAAGCAAGCTACAACAGATGAGATCAAGAAGACCTACCGCAAATTAGCACTTAAGTATCACCCCGACAAGAACCCCAATAATCCCGAAGCTGCGGAAAAGGTATGGACAGTGGGAATTCACCCTTTTTGAAAGCTTTTGCCGTCTGGGTAGTTGGGTCCCTCTCCCCTCCGCTCGGATATCATTGATGTGTTTAAGGATTTTGTGGTCATTTCCTTTTTTCAAGAGCAGCGGTGTGAATCAGGCTCTCATTGTCAGAAATCAGTAATGGGTTTGATTACAGTGAGTAAAAGTCAGGTGTGCTATTGTTTGGTTAGGTGACCAGCATGCATGCACTCTCTCTTTTATCACTAGTATTTAGACATAATATAAACTCTCTATATTTGTGATCATTGTTTAGAATATTTTAGGGGGGTTTACTGCATCAATGTATATTTGCATTATATATATATGTATATTTCATATATATTTATTTATTCAGCCATTTATATATATTCATGGGGGGATTTCTGTAGATATATATTTAGCATTGTTATCATTTTTATTTTATTTATTTATTTTTTTTATGTACTTACATACGTTACACAAAAAAAAACAGACATCAATCCAACTAAAGGTGAAGGAAATTTTGAGCAAAGCTGTAATACTCGAAGCCACACAAAAGACCGCTTGATTTTTAACCTAGAAAATATTGTAAGATTTCTCTGTGTAGGGAGGAACAGAGATAAGAAATGGATTCCAAGCCTAATAGATTTATGGTTAAAATCTGTATAGTTGGCTCTCAAACATGACTTTTATTTTCATGAATGTTTTGTCTGTAGGATATGTATGAGTGAATTATGACCAGTGTGTCGTTTGCTGGCTCATTGGCTTATAAAAAGTGTTTATTTAAGAATAAATGTCTTGTGTGTATGTGTTTGATTATTGATTTGTGGAGGATCTTTTTGTAAGGACTTGTGAGAGTAATATAATTTTATGTAATTGCAGTTTAAGGAAATCAACCATGCCCATGGTATTCTCAGCGATGCTACAAAGAGGAACATATACGACAACTACGGTTCACTTGGCCTTTATATTGCCGAACAGTTTGGCGAAGAAAATGTCAATACATATTTCTTAGTGAACTCTGGTTGGTGCAAGGTAAGGCTCTATTGCAGTGCATTATGTGGTATTCTCTCTCTCTCTCTCTCTCTCTCTCTCTCTCTCTCTCTCTCTCTCTCTCTCTCTCTCTCTCTCTCTCTCTCTCTCTCTCTCTCTCTCTCTCTCTCTCCCTCTCTCTCTCTCCCTCTCTCCCTCTCTCCTTCTCTCCTTCTCTCCCTCCCCTCTCTCCCTCTCTCCCTCTCTCCCTCTCTCCCTCTCTCCCTCTCTCCCTCTCTCTCTCTCTCTCTCTCTCTCTCTCTCTCTCTCTCTCTCTCTCTCTCTCTCTCTCTCTCTCTCTCTCTCTCTCTCTCTCTCTCTCTGTCCCCCCCCTCCCCCCCTCACTCTCACTTTCACTCCCCCTTTCCCTCTCCCTCCCTCCCTCCCTCCCTTTCTCCTTCTCCCCCCCCCTCACCTCCCTCCTCTCTCTCCCTCTCCCCCCCCCTCATATCCTTCCTCCTCTCCCCCCCCCCCCTCTCTCTCTCTCTCTCTCTCTCTCTCTCTCTCTCTCTCTCTCTCTCTCTCTCTCTCTCTCTCTCTCTCTCTCTCTCTCTCTCTCTCTCTCCTCTCTCTCTCCTCTCTCTCTCCTCTCTCTCTCCTCTCTCTCTCCTCTCTCTCTCCTCTCTCTCTCCTCTCTCTCTCCTCTCTCTCTCTCTCTCTCTCTCTCTCTCTCCTCTCTCTCTCTCTCTCTCTCTCTCTCTCTCTCTCTCTCTCTCTCTCTCTCTCTCTCTCTCTCTCTCTCTCTCTCTCTCTCTCTCTCTCTCTATCTCTCTCTCTCTCTCTCTCTCTCTCTCTCTCTCTCTCTCTCTGTCTCTATTCTCTCTCTCTTTCTTTCTCTCTCTTTATCTCCCTCTCTCTTTCTCTCTCTCTCCCTCTCATCTCCCTCTCCCTCTCATCTCCCTCTCCCTCCCCTCCTCCCCTCCTTCCCCCTCCTCCCCCTCCCTCTCCCTCTCCCTCTCTCTCTCTCTCTCTCTCTCTCTCTCTCTCTCTCTCTCTCTCTCTCTCTCTCTCTCTCTCTCTCTCTCTCTCACACCCTCCCTCCTCCTCCTCCTCCTCCTCCTCCTCCTCCTCCTCCTCCTCCTCCTATTCCTTCCTCCTCTCCACTCCCACTTTCCCCCCCAAGTCTTTTCCTTCTCACCCTCTCTCTCTCCCAGTCCCTCTCCATCCTCCTCTCCAGATGAAGTGCCTCAATGCAACAAATCCAGAAACTGTCACATAGACATCCCATTTGACTTCATGAATGTAATATTTGTCTTTCTTCTTCCAGGCGCTCTTCCTCTTCTGTGGCCTGATCACAGGTTGCTATCTATGCTGTTGCTTCTGTTGCTGCTTCAACTTCTGCTGCGGCAAATGCAAACCTCGACCTCCAGATGAGACCGGGGACTACCATAATCTCAACGTAAGTGCGCTGTAGATGTACAAGTTTGGGGATAATTTTATTATTTTTTTCTGAAAAGAAAGGGGAATTGGTAGCTTTTTTAATTTCTTGTACCTTACTAGTTATTGATTATCTAAGGTTTGTTGTTGATGTTAAATATGGAGGCCATCATTATATTTGGGTGATTTCTTATTATCCATTATAGATTATGTATGTGAGTGTGAGATATCAGTATTATTTCAGACCTACACAATTGTTTTTGTTTTTTTTATTGTACATGGTATTTCTGTGTACATGTAAGTATGAGGGTGAGAGAACATTATTGTAAGCACATTTACATGTGCATTTGTGTCAGTTTGCATCAGTCTGTGTGTGTCTGAACATCCTAAACAGGCTATCTATTCTACTCTTTGTTGTTAGTGATAGGAAGATTGTGAAATATCACTGCTTAGTAACATCAAGGTGTTCATTACTCTCATAGAGGAATTCCATGATATTTTATAGTTAAATAATCCTCTTGTATCTGTTGCCTTTTTGTGCCATACATGTAGATTTGATCTCTTGTACATAGACTTTGCAAGTAATTTTTGCAAAAGGAAAAAGTTTGAGAGAGAGTGAAAGGATTTCATGTGGGGAATTATAATGCTCAATTTCTTTCTGTATTCTTAAAAAGTGTTAATGGCCTCCATTTTATTGCTGCTTTTTTTCTCCAAGATTTTTCAGCTGGATAACTTTATCTTTACAAATATTGTGTAAGCATGGATTTTTAATGATAGGATTGTGATCATCTTTAGAGAGTCTGTAATTTGAATTAATTTTTGAAATAATCAAGTTTGGGTTAATTATGTGATTTGTCCTAAGCAGCTTGTACATCATGTGCAAGCTGAGGTCAGTTCTCACCTGCAGTTATAAGGACAGATAAGTTGTACAGGTTGTGGGAGAACTTGGACCTGTAGTTATGAGAGATATTTTTTTTTTCTGAAGTGTTTTTTTTATGTAGTGAAAGGTTTTTATTTACTTTTTATTTTTATTTTTTTTTGGATTCTCAAATAATAGTAAATTCCTTCATTCCCTTTAGCTCTTTCAGTACTGTTTAGTGATTTTGTAGGGGTTATATATGATACTAAAGATAGAATTATAGAAGCAATACTTTGTTGGTGTGTCAGCTCCCACTCCTTGGCCCATGCACTGTTGTTGTGGCTTGTACTTGGGCTAGATTCAGTCCCTTTCACTTATTATGGCATTTGATTTTTTTTTTTTTTTTTTTTTTTTTTTTTTTTTTTTTTTTTTTTTTTTTTCTTGTATCTGTTTGTGGTTAAGATATAATTGTGGTATACTATATTTGGAGACGTAAACACACGTGGGTATTTTAGATGACCCCTATTTAAACAGGGTAAAAAAAAAAGAAAAAAAAGAAAGAAAAATAGATGGCACCACCCTCTTGTATAAGACAGAGGATGATTTTTTGAGCCACTCTTTAGGGGGAAAATGTATTTTAAATGCCATCAAATATGATATGTACTTTACATAACACATTTCTGTATGGTAGATATATGAATAGAAAAAATGGAGACAGTGTATTTATCTGATTAGTTTTCAAAAATTGCAAGAAGAGGGAAAAGAACTAGGTTATTTTCATACATTGTTTATGGGATTTTGCCTCAAGAAGGCAGTGTGGCAGTTGTCCAGATTTTGATATCTACCTTTATCTATGTAGTTTCCTATGTTGAATACACAATGGATAATTGTTTGAGAAAAAAAAAAAAGATCATCTAAAAGATATATAGTGTTGGGCATTTTATCATTGATTAAGTGCTGGAATGCATTTAACAAACTGCATAAACAAGATAGAATTTAATATTTATGCAGGTACTTAATGCATCTAGATTCAGAATTTTGTGAAATGCTCCAGTGTTTTAGCATAAGTTGTTTCCCTTTGCCATATGTGAGATGTTATAGTCCATTTAATTACATACTTACAGACAGGTGCAGAGGATTTGGTAAGGCACATTTTTAAGCAGTCATTAGGAATGTATGGTATAGCTACATGTATCTATGAATATGCATGGTAAATGTCCACCACTCTGAGTGGTTGCCGCATCAGCTCTCTTAATCCTAGCCATCTTCAAGACTTCTTCCTTGGTCTTTTGTGTCGCACAGTTGTCAAGTGTTGTTTGTTTTTTAGGATTGCATCATTTTTGGTAACTTATGGAACAGTGAAGTTGGATTCTACTCTTAGGCTTAAAGATTAGAGCCGATGTCTTCATTTTATTGATTTACAAAAGCTGCACCATTGCACCTTTTTATTTTAAAGTCATTGTTTTGTTATTTTCTTTTCTTTTAATAATGTTTCATTGTCATCTGCATTTTCTGTTCTTAAACTATTCAGTCATTTTGTTTGGTATCAATTTCTTCGTACATATAGATGTTGAAGATGAAAATAATATTTTGCAGAATAGTAATTTTTCCTTTTACAGTCAACCAAAGGTGTCACCTCTGATTTTGTAAATAACTTTATGAAATTCTCCTCATAGTACTGTTTCTTCTTTTATTTATATATTTATTCATTCTTACTATCCCACAAGAAAACCGTCTATAGTTGGGCTACTTTTCATTTCACTGACTTTATTTGATAGAAAATAATTTGGAAAAAGAACATGACACTTGGTTAGCCGTCGCACCTGTAGTTTGGTTTGCACACAGCACTGATAGGTGTAGCAGTTGTCTGGCACAGAGTGAGCACATGTTAACTGAGCACTTGTTACGAAAACTGGATATTTTCATGGTATTCAGTGTTGTGTTTAGCATAAGGTTCTTGGAGATTGATGTTGAAGTTTGAAGTGTCTGAAGAGGATACAAGCTTATGAGCTTGTTGGTGTTCAGAGAAATGAACAGGTAAAGATAATGGTTTGCTTTTTCTCTTTTTTCTTTTTTTTTTCTTTTTTTGTGAAGGATATTATCTGTTTCAGAGTTTTAATGTTGTTTTTGGTTTTATTAGGATGACAGTATTGTGATCTACATGGTAAGGAACAATATGGGAAAAACACAGTGCACGACTGAAAAAAAAATCAGATTGATTTTCAAAACTGGTAAAAGCTACTTCAGTGACCCAGTATATTTTCTTTTTGCCATTTAGTAAGTCATTAATGTGGCAGATGAATCAGTTATTTGATATTTGTGTCTTGTCAAATTATGTCTTGTTGGCAGTGAAAGCTTTTGTATGAGTCGTGACTCTTGGCCTTCACCACAATTTACTGCCAGTTTAACACGAGAAAAGTTTGGGGTTTTGAGGCAAAGGTTTCTTAACACCAGCCCAATTTTTGTGAATGTTTGTTTTCATCTGAGGGCATTGAGGTGCTCAACCTCTTGGTTGCCTGCATGTGCAACATAAGCATGTTTAGAAATTTCAATTTTGTGATGGAAGGATTACATTTGTCTTTGAGGAGTAAAGAAACCTCTTGTGTCTTGAAAAACTTTAGTTGAAGGAAGTTTTATGCATGTCTTGATCAATTAGTTTTCAATGAAATTGATTGGCTCTCTTTGACCAGGATTAGGACCTATGGGCAAAGGTAGGAAGCACTGTCTTCTTTTATTTTACCATGTGCACACCTAGGTCATGTTGTCCTTAGTCTTCTCATGAGGACCTCTGCAATGCGATTACATTGTAGTGTTTGTGTCATGAGACTTTTGCAGGTCATGGACCTAACCTGTGGGTCTAGAAGTCTGAAGTTCCTCTCCTTTTTTTCTCAGGCTCTATCTGTGATGGTGTATACAAGTTTTTCTTTTGTGACTTTATTATGAAGTTGGTATTGGTATTTCAAGCTCGTTATTGTTGTATGTATTAATCATTCATATGAAATATCTTTGTTGAATGATTTTTTTTTATCTTCTATCTCCAAACACTTTTTCTGCAATCATATTATTGAAAGTTTTCCAAAGATACACTACAGTTATACATAGAAAAGGCTACATTTTCTTCAGTTGAATGTTAGATACAAGTTTGTCCACCCTTAATTTTTATTTTTTATTTTTTTGTATCCACATGTAAATTTTCAATTTTTCATTCTCCAAATTCCATACAGATTTTTGCTAATTATTGATAGTATTTTGGCACTAACATTGATTTAGTGAAATTGGATTTTAAAATTTGCTGAGTGCGTAATTTTTCTATACAGTTATGTAAAAATTATTACCTTTTCATTAATTGGTTTAGTGTCTCTCAGATGCTTGTGATGGCTTTTTTATTTTTTTAGATTTTTGCTTCTAATAAAAACTAATTGCTTTGCATAATATTTTATGTACAAATGATTATCTCCCTTTTTTGGTTTCATTTATTTATCTGTTTATGATTTTATTTATTTATTATTTTTTATTTATTTATTTATTGTTTTTTTATTTTATTTACTTTTGTGGCTTGTAGAATCATTGATAAGCTTCAGGTATTTGATAGTGATAGTTGATATGCCCTGGCTTTGTACCAACTCCTCTTCCCCAAGCCCTTGGGTAAATGGGGGGAGGGGTAATTTCTGTCCTGTCTAGCAAGCAAAGTGGGCAATGGGATCCTGTAGGGACTCTTGGGATTATGGTTAGGTGGGTGCTGCTAACCTAGCTTAAGGTGTGTAGGGTAAAGCTTTTTTTGAACCCTGTATGCATTGGGACACTGCTAAAGAGGGTGGCAGTGGCAGCATCCATCCAATGACTACCTAAGGTTACTCATCGGGGCCATCTACTGGTTGGGGATAGAGAACATCCACTCTTTGTTCCAGGAGGATCAATTGCTCCTGTCAAGGAAAATGAAGCTTCTGAAAGTTGAGGTAGCTGCCCTCTCAGAGGTGAGAAGACATGGCAGAAACACAGGTAGTGAAGATCATTTCATCTGTTACTCAGGCTGCAGCAAATGGTCCCCATCTCTTGGGGGTAGCTAGAGCCATCTCCAGCAGACTGTAGCAGATATTGGTTGTTGAGGTACCTGCAGGCAATGAGGGAATAATGGTTTTAAGACTGAAGTGTTCATTTGGCTTCAAGACTTATTGCTTTGTACAGGTATGCTGACGTACATAAACTTCCACGGCAGATAAGCTGTCCTTGATGGGATAATCACATTATCCTAGGAAGTAGGAACTCAGAGATTGAGATTTATGAGTCCTGGTACCAGCATTCTCGCCTGCATTACTGAACCTTGTGCAGTGATGCAGGTAATGTGGCTAAAGAGATTGACCTTGTACTTGTTAGTACTTGCGGGAGGATCTTCTAGAATGGCAAGTTTTGCTGTAATGCAGAGTTCAGTGGAAGTTATAAAATGTTTGTGGTTGTCCCCCAGGTCAACTGGACTTGATCAATCCTCGATGTCAAAGATCCAGACAATGCTGAGGAGGGACAAGGAACAACATATCAGGAATATTACTTCCAAGGTTAAAGGCCACTCTCTGACCTGAAAAAGCTGAACTGAAAGTCCTCTTCACAAATTGATGGTGATGGCTGGAACTGCAGCAATTTCTAAGGCATTATACTACTCAGCATACCAGGAAAAGTGCTCCATTTCACCCTTCTGAGATGTATCAGATATCAACTCAAGGTACCAGAGACCAAAACTATCTGGATTCACACCTGGCAAATCCACAAAAGACTGAATTCTTGTGATTTGAGTCATTGTCATCCTGAATTCAGTTGTAGGCTGTTCCAAAATCTAGTATTTTTGGGGTATGCTAGGAAAGTTTAGTCAGTATGTGTTTGTGGCAAAGATATTGAAGTCCCACAGGGGTTTCCATATCTTGGCAGTGTATTGCATGACTCAGCTATCAGACATGTTATTCAACTGGCAGACTGGCCTGGCAAAAAAGTAGTTGGAAGATGCCAGTACCTGTGCAGAAGAACCAAACTGCACATCTGAAGGACCCTGATACTCTCCAATTTGCTTTATGGACCAGCAAAACTTCAACTTTATTCTGTATTTTGGAATCGACACATAATTGGAACAGGGCCCTGTCTTAGTTGGCAGGACCACATGTACAACCAAAGACAACCATGAGACTGGCACAATCCAGTCCTACCAATTCAGGCTACAGGAACACCTAGCTAAACTCCTTCCCTCCTGCTCACCAGGTTGTTTCCTCTAGAGACAACCTAAGGTGGAGGAGGACCAGGAGACAACCAAGCAATGGCTTGGCCAAATTGACCAAATCTGTTGTGAAAGTATAGAGGTAGACTATGGACCAGCCTGATGGCTAACCAGGAGAGACCCTCGTGGCTTGATAGGGAGGATGGGTGCAGCAGTGGCCCATACTTGTTTGCTCCAGCTATTGATTGACTGACTTGATAGTGAAATGAATGGTTTGATTGGTAGTGTGTGTGCACACATGCAAAAACACACTCACACACAAACACACACATACACAAAATCATAATCATGTACACTCATTCACACACGCCCGCGCGCACGCACGCACACACACACACACACACACACACACACACACACACACACACACACACACACACACACACACACACACACACACACACACACACACACACACACACACACACACACACACACACACACACACATACATATGCACACATGCACACATGCACACATGCACAATCTTGTACACATACATACACACACAATCTTGTACACATACATACACACACATACACACACACACACACACACACACACACACACACACACACACACACACACACACACACACACACACACACACACATACACACACACACATACACACACACACACATACACATACACACACACACATACACACACACACATATACACATACATATAGACACATATATAGACACATATATAGACACACACATACACACACACATACACACACATACACACACACACATACATACGCATACACATGCGCGTGCACACACACACACATATGCACACACTCACGTATTCGAAAGTACATGCAAAGATGCATAGAATAATATAAGTATGCGGACAAATTTTCTCAAGTAAATCTCTTGCATAATTGATTGTTTATCCATAGTTAGTCACAATTACAAATATTCAAAATGAAAATAGATTTAATGAAAGTTTTGTCTGTACTTTTAAGAATGTCTACATATTTTGAGTTTGTGAATGTTGAAGTGTTGTCATATTTGTGTGTTATTAGATTTATTTGCTGATGTTATAGATGATTTACAATATAGAATGTTTTATTTTGTATGTTGTGTATTGCCAGTACTGGTCAGAAAGTAGAAGAGAAAGGGCATGAATTTAATTATTGTTATTACTGTTGATATTATTATTATTATCATTATATTATTTTGAAAAAAAAAATTATTCCTTATGTTTTTATTACCCATTTGTAAGTCTTTTATAAATTTTGTTGTGTCAGCTCCTCCCCTCTACTGCCCCCCCTCTCACCCACCTGCCTGCCTGGCAAATGTTCTGCATGGCTCCTCTTTCATTTGTAATGATCTCGACCAGCTCAGCGACCCTAGGCCGAGACCCCGCTGCTGTGCTCACACACTGGGGCGAGCTCAGTGTTCACGCTGACTGACCCAAACTCTGCTTGGCCAGCATCAGTACCTCATCCCAAAAAAAGGCCCATTCTAAGCAGTTTTGAGAGCTTCCTAAATTTACCAGAGTTACTAATGGTGATTAGATACCATCACTAGAGAGGATCAGTGGTTTATGGAATGATTTTTCAGATTTGTATATATTCATATATGTATATACATTATCTATTATATGTATATATATAGATATGTTTAGCATTTTTTTTCCTTACATTTGTTGGAATACATATCACTGATGATACATGCATTGACACATGAGTGAACTTTTTGACAAACCATAATAGAATGATTATATATATATATATATATATATATATATATATATATATATATATATATATATATATATATATATATATATATATATATATATATATATATGTATATGTGTGTGTGTGTATTTACAAATACATGTATGTGTATATATATGTATATATTTATAAATATGTATATATATGAATATGTATGTATGTATATATATATATATATATATATATATATATATATATATATATATATATATACATACATACATACATACATACATACATACATACATACATACATACATACATACATACATACATACATACATACATACATACATACATACATACATACATACGTATGTATGTATGTATATGTATGTATGTATATATGTATGTATGTATATATATGTATGTATGTATATATATGTATGTATGTATATATATGTATGTATGTATATATATATATGTATGTATGTATATATATGTATGTATATATATATATATGTATGTATGTATGTATATATATTATAGTAATAAATCCACATTTGTTAGGTGAGTCAGTCATGTAATTATCCTTATTATTTTTATTATTATTATTATCATTATTATTTTTATTATTGTCATTATTATTTTTATTATTATTATTGTTATTATGAGATAATGATGGTTATTACATTGTTATTGACTTTTTCATCATGACTATATTTACCATTAATTAGATTTATTTACACAGTACCCCCAAAACAACTAAATGTTTTAATGACTGATAGAAGATAAAGCCCAAGTAAGCTGGTACCCATGTGAGAGCACAGTTAGGGGCGGCAGCGCTTTGACTGTATGCGCAGAGTAGCTTAGTAACTGCTATCCCTTCCTCTTGTTGTCCAGCCTGACCAAGCTGAGGGAGTTCATACCGTTCAGCCTGGGACATCAAGAAAGAAAGTAAGTATGGATCCAGGTATTTGTATTTTCCCAGTTAGTTTTTTTTTTTTTTTTTTTTTTTTAATGTACCTTTTAGAGTCTATACTTTTACTTTTTTTCACAGTAATTGTCTTTTTTAGGTAGGTGGGTCTTGCAAACTTGCTCTTTCTCCTCATTAGAAGTTTGTGTTTATATGCTCACCTACCTGCCTTTTGATCAGTGGTTTTTGGAATTCAGAGAATGAGTTCAGTCTATAAAAATTGGATTTTTTTTTTTTTTTTAATAGAGGGAATTGTTTTTGATAAATAAAGTCCTCATATAAAAACAAAGATAGCAAGAGAAAGGAGCTTCTATTTATGAACATTTGATTCCTGGGATCCATAACATCTGTTGTCAGTATGAAAAATAGTATAAAGATGAAGATGTTTATTATAATTCATTAGATTGTTACAAATGTTATGCTAGATATCATGACTGATTTGTTAGGCAAATACTTAACTACATTACTACACTGTTTTTGGTAAGTCTGTACATGTATATGGTTGAAACCAGATGAAAGCTAGGATAAAAACTTTTTTTTACCCTTCAGTTATATTAATCAGGATAGAACATATCATAGTCAGACTTATTGAGAATGTTTAGCCCCTTTCTATTCCATTAAGGAGAGTCGTATTATTAGAGTGCACTCTAAGGATTAATTTTTTTACCAGAAATCTTAGTAGTCTAGAAAGTTTGAAGTAAAAGCAAAATCATGAAGAAGGAAAGCAAGAAACAAAGAATATTAAGAATGAAGGTTTGTGCTTCATTTCTCAATGATGGGAGGATATTGGTCTCATAACCCAATGCCGCCAGGTGGTTTCCCAATACGGAAGCCCTCTCTCCCGGGTTGTATTCGTAGTGGTGTGGACCCCACTGCTGGGGGATCATGTTGACACCATAGCGTGCGTGGCATGACCATGCATGGCCTTCAGAAAACGGGACTGGTGCACCATGTCATGTATGCAAATGCCATCCAGAGTATAGTCCAGGCATGCCAT